ATAATTGGATTATCGTTAACTGTTATTTTCAAATATCCTTGGCAGATTTTATAAGGACTATATTTCTCAAGGAAGTTCATTCCTAATAGAATAGGTGAACGATTTACTCCATATAATTCATCTTTATATAGAATTATTTCTTTAGTATATTCTCTATGATCCTCTCCTACAAGTATAAGAGGGAACTTAACATATTTTCTGATTTCAAGATTATTTCCTAAATAATCTTTAAATATATATGGTTCTGATATTTCGAATTCTGTTAGGTGACTAACAAATTTAGCATTTACATGACTTTTATCTGCTCCAGTATCTATAAGGACAAGAAGATTTTTCTTAAATCCTTCTTAGTTTACATATCTTGTCTTAATGTAATATTGTGAACTTGATGGTTCAGTAATACTTAGATTCTTAAGTCTGCTTATCCTAGATTCTTGTCTAGAGGGGAATCTTGCAATAAGATTGTCTCCTTCTAAGCTAACACTATTTCTTCTTATTAATTTTCCTTCAGAATTAATTTCTCTAGCTTGTTTATAGAAATCTAACATTATTTGTTCTGGTATTGTTACTTCATGTTCTTGATATTTCCTAGGAGGTATGTATTGTGCTAATTCCTCAAAATCTTTATGTATTATTATGTTATCAGTTATTTTTCTTAAATTGTGATGATGGCTAGTACTAAAAGCAAAAATTGATTTTATGCTTATACTAATAGCCTTACTTCTTCGTAACATCTTTAAATTTCCAATTCTATAATATAGATTGAAACTTTGGTCAATATTTTCATCACTCAATGATATGGCATAATTTGGTTTTACTGTAAATATTATCTTTTGATAGACTAAATTTCCTACAACTGTTCCTAATAGAGCATCTATAGGATCTTGTAAGATTCTGTTGTCCATACAGTATATTTCTATTGGTATATTCATACCTTCTCTAAAAAATCCTTTTACCATTATCTGGACTCCTCCTAATTCAATACATTTTAATTTGTTCCTTACATTTTCTGGGATTTTGGATAGTTTTTGTTTTACCCATTCTTTTGTGATTATAGGAATTCTTGCCTTTCCTATAGTATCTTCTATATTGATAGACATTTCTTTATAATTCATACTAACAATTGTTTTATTTA